GCAAAGCGCGGTGGCCCAAGCTTGCGCCGGCGAGCCCGGGCGACATAATGCCTTCCAAAAATATCCAGGAACTTCGTCTGATCCGCAAGCTTTTTCCCGACTCATCGCCATTGCTGCCTGGGCGACTTCCCAATCTTGAATGGGCCCGACTTCCGCGGGGAGCGAGGGCCCCAGCATGTTTGCCTGCAGAGGCGCTGTGTCTCGCGCCGCACCTCGGCCATTGTATCTGGACAGGAATCTGAATCAATGAGCCTGCCAAGCATGTCTCGCATCCGCCCTTGCCGAGGCGCAAACCACTTCCGCAATTTGCGAATTTGCCCCCAGTCTTCAGTGGCGAGAAGACGTTCCAACCACTCTGCACGGTCTCTCTTCACAGAAAAAAGACCACAGAAAAAAAAAAAAAGAAAAAACCGAAAACAAAAAGAAAACAAAAAAAAAAAAAAGAAAAATGACAAAAATAAAAAAGAAAGGAGAAAAAAAAATGTTAGAAAAAGAGATAAGAAAAAAAAAAAAAAAAGAAAAAAAAAAGATAATAAAAAAAGAAACCAAAGGAAGACAGAAACAACAGAAAAATAAGAAAAAAAAAAAGGATAAATGTAAGAAAGAACAAACAAGAAACAATAAAAAAAAAAAAAAAACAAAAAAAAAAAAAAAAAAAAAAAAAAAACACAGAAGCCTTCACTTGCTGATTCAACCGTCTGTGTCCGCGTCCCCGCGGTGCCTGGCATCTGCGCGCGTTTTGACGATGTCCATTGCGCGGTCAGAGACCCCCGGCCTCCGCGGCGCAGCCGTCCGGGCAGGGATCGCCATCGCAGCCGTGGAGAACGACTCTTTTATGAGAGCGTCAACGTCGGAGGCCGTCGACACCGGCCTGCTGCTTTCCAGCTCTTCTGCGCGATCGGCGAATGCAACGGCAAACCGACTAGATGCCCAAGGGGGGCGGAAGGCGCGCAGGTCTCGTCGGGGAGTTAGCTGTCGTCGCGACTCCTTTGGGACCTGCACGTCTAGATCTGCGTGGGCCAGAAAATGGTGCGACGCCAAAGCACGTCGCCGGTCACTAGTAATGCCTTTCAGACTGCCCAACCAATCCTTTGACATCAACAAAGGATCCATCTGTCCAGAATGATCTGGCGCGGGGGCGTCAGACGGCTTCTTCCCAACGTTATAACACGTGATCAGCCGGTCCGCTGGTTGAAGCTCTGCTAGCAGACTCCGGTTGGAAGACGGATCGCATGCAGCCGCGGGGTTGCCGAACGCACGGGGCCCCATGATGCCGTCCTCATGCGGGAAACGACCCCCCAGGACCAAAAGTGGGCCACGCGAAGATACACCGGACAGGAAAGCACAGAGGTCGCTGTAGAAGGCCTGCCGGTCCTCGAAGAGTTTGCCGCCGCGCGGGGCATGCGCGCTACAGACCACAACTTTGCCACCAACCACCCGTGACTTCAAGTGCGCCATACATGCTGTCCCCTGTCTGAATCCAAGCACGCCGTGGCGAAGATGAGGGGCAACTATGAAACCAACTCCGGCCGTCTCCTCCTGGTCGGCGTCGGCGGCGCCCGAGAGAACGGCGAGGAATCCATCGTCAGAAACGTGATAATCGCAACCTGCCTTGCGCGTCTCCTGGATGCACAAAATGTCGATGTTGAGCTGAACCATGTGCCACTCCAGCTCCAGCTGCTTTGCGTCCGCGTAGCCCTCCACGTTCCAGGATGCCACCCGGAGCAGCCGAGAACAAAGACGAAGGGGGCTCCCGCGAACACGAAGTGCTTCCTCAGCTCTGGTGGAATGTTGGGGAGCAGGGTAAAGATAGGCAGCATCATTGCCGGCCGCTGCGGGCAAGTGTTTGCAAGGGCGAATTCTCACCAACTCGTGTTTGATATTGGCAATAGGGCCGACTACCGGTGAAACGGGTGAAACATTGCTCACGTGCCTTACTTCCTAATGGGGCCCGCGCCCCTTAGCTCCTCCTTTTGCGCTCTCTTTAAGACCTTGGGATGCACGCTGGAGGAAGTCGTCTGACTTCTTAGCGATGTCCTTGATCAGCGGGTTGCCGTGTAGCTCGGACCAGGTGGCCCACTCGCCCTGCCACTCGTACTCCACACTGCTCCCCAAGACCTTGGCTGTGAACGCGGGCTCGCCCCCCACAGTCACACTGCAAGGCGCCTCGTTGCTGACTGAAGTGTTGTACGGGATCTCCCATTCGCCCTTTAAGATGCGCTTGAGGCCAAGACAATAGTCCCGGGCAGCGCGCTCTGGCGCGGAGCGGTCTTCGGTGGCCCAGATTTTCTTGTCGCCGTTCATACACTTGCCTTGCGAAGCAGCTCCACGGCCTTGTCGCGCGTGTCCGTGTTGAGGAACTCTGCGAGCATGACTCCACTAAAAGCTCCTTTACTGTACGTCTTGGACGGGGTGGGGCCTGAAAGCGACGCCAATCTGCTCTTCAACCACTCGGTGGCTTGTGAGAGGTCGCCTAGGCCGTCCATGTTGCCCACGACCATCGTCACGAAGCGTTTGTTCACCATGTGGCCGTGGGGGTCTGGGGACCCAGCGGTCGAAGAAGTATTCGACAAGAGCTCCTTGAAACGGCTATCGATCATAGCCTCAATCGTGTCGCTCGTCATGGGGGCTTGCCGCAGCATGTCCTCTAACTTGTCCGCTCGCAAAACGGTGTTGATGATGGCCGCCTCCACGTCCTCCATCCGGCCGGACAGAGTCTCGCCGAGGGACGTGACCTGGACCTCCAGCTTCCCGAAGTCGCGGCGCAAGGCACCCATCACATATGTCATAAGTGCCAACTGCTGCTTCAGGAGCTTGGCGATCCCGCCCATCGTCACGGGCTCCGTGTCCATGACGGTGGTTTCGGCACTCGCGAAGTCCAGCTGCCGTAAGGGGTTCACGGACTGCCTGTCTTTCCCCTTCTCCCCGTCGTCCAGCAGGTCCTCGTCCATCTCGTTCAGGGGGCTGCTGAGGCGGGCCCGTTTGTCGACAGGAGTGTCAGGAGTGGCAAGGGCCACAACTTCGACTGGCGCTGCATCGGATGACGCTCCGCCTAGCACTCCACGCTCTGGGGTGCCTGGCTGCCGCGTGCTCGGCGGCATGGCAGGCGTCGGACTCTGGAGAAGCCGGGGAACGAGAGGGAAAGCCAAGGTTCCCCCTAGAAACAAATCAGCACTTGGCACTTGAGCACCTTGAGCACTTGCCACTTGAGCGCCTTGAGCCACGTAAGAGCACTTAGACTTACACGTAAGAGCACGTAATATGTAAACAGAGGGTCCACGATCGAGCGCGTAGGATTTACCCTCCAGAGCAGCAGCCTCATGGAACGAGGTCGGCGGCGAGGCACGGGACCCCTTTCCCCCGGGACCCCTCGGCCCGTGATGGCCCGTGCCCGGGCGGCATCGGAGGGACAGAGCAGCTGCACAAACATCCTCCCCCTCCTCCTCCTCCTCCCCCTCCTCCCTCCTCCTCCTCCTCCTCCTCGCCCTCCGCCTCCTCCTCCCCTCCTCCTCCTCCTCCTCCTCCTCTCCTACCTGCCTCCCTCCCCTCCTCCTCCTCCTCCTCCTCCTCCCCCCTCCTCCCCCTCCTCCCTCCTCCTCCCTCCTCCTCCCTCCTCCTCCCTCCTCTCCCTCCCTCCTCCGCCTCCTCCTCTCCTTCTCACTCCATCCTCCCTTCCCTCCCTCCTCCTCCCATGCTCCCTCCGCCTCCTCTCCTCCCTCCTCCCCCTCCGCCCCTCTCTCCTCCTCTCTCCTCCTCCGCCTCCTCCTCCACTCCTCCTCCTCCTCCTCCTCCTCCTCCTCCTCCTCCTCCTCCTCCTCCTCCTCCTCCTCCTCCTCCTCCTCCTCCTCCTCCTCCTCCTCCTCCTCCTCCTCCCTCCTCCTCCTCCCCCTCCCCCCTCCTCCTCCTCCTCCTCTTCCTCCTCCTCCTCCCTCCTCCTCCTCCTCTTCCTCCTCCTCCTCCTCCTCCTCCTTCTCCTCCTCCTCCTCTTCTCTCCTCCTCCTCCTCCTCCTCCTCCTCCTCCTCCCTCCCTCCTCCCTCCTCCCCTCCTCCCTCCTCCCTCCTCCTCCGTCCTCCTCCCTCCTCCTTCCTCCTCCTCCTCCCTCCTCCTCCTCCTCCCTCTACATCCCTCCTCCTCCCTCCTCCTCCCTCCTCCTCCCTCCTCCTCCTCCTCCCTCTCCTCCTCCTCCTCCTCCTCCCTCCTCCTCCTCTCTTCTGCTTGATCCTCTTAATTCATGTTATTATTAATTCTTAGTCATTGGTATCAGTAAGTTTATTACCCCCCCCCCCCCCAAAACCCCCCCTCCTCACTAGTATTATTATTAGTATTATTATTATTCGTATTAGTGTTAGTATGATTATTATTATGATTAGTATGATTACTATGATTATTATTATGTATTGTTATTAATACTATTGGTATTATTATAATTCTTATTATTATTACTAGTATGAGTGTTATTACTATTATTATTATGAATATTATTATTGGTATTACTATTATTATCATTCGAGTTACTCTTCTTCTTATTATTATTATTAGTATCGTCATTCTTATTCTTAGTATTATTATTATTATTCCTCCTCCTCCTCCTCCTCCCCCTCCTCCTCCTCCCCTTTCCCCCTCCTCCCCCTCCTCCTCCTCCTCATCCTCCTCTTCCTCCTCCTCCTCCTCCCCCTCCTCCTCCGCCTCCTCCTCCTCCGCCTCCCTCCAAGAGTCCTATCCTATCCCCTCCGTCCTCCCCTCACTCTTCTTCCTCCCCCCACTGCCCTCTTTTCCTCCCCCTTCTCCTCCTCCTCTGCTCCTCTGCCCTCCCTTCTTCCCGCTCTCTCCTTCCCCTCTCCCCTTCCTCCTCTCCTCCCTCCCTCCTTTCCTCCTCCTCCTCCCTCCCTCCTTCCTCCCGCCCCTCCGCCTCCTCCTCCTCCTCCTCCTCCTCCTCCTCCTCCTCCTCCTCCTCCTCCTCCTCCTCCTCCTCCTCCTCCCCCCCCTCCACACATTGAGCCTGCCGGGCCCATCGGCGAAGCTGGCCAGCGCCTTGTCCCTCGCCTGGGCGTGGGGCACCACGGGATCCCGCTTCCGCGTCCCGCCCCCCCGTCCCTCCCGCTCCTCCTCCGCCGTCATTCTCCCCCCTCCCCCGTCCTCCCCCCTCCTCCGCCTCCTCCGCACTCGTGCTCCGAACAGGGAAGCAGACCAGCCCAAACGACACCTTTTCGCGAACGAGTCACCACTGGCCATCCTCGTTCTCCTTCTTCTCCACCACCTCCTCCTCCTCCCCCTCCTCCTCCTCCTCCTGCAACTCCTCCTCCAACTCCTCCTCCTCCTCCTCCTCCTCCTCCTCCTCCTCCTCCTCCTAACCACCACCACCACCACCACCCTGACCACCACCACCACCACCACCACGGCCACCCATCAAGCATCATCATCATCATCATCATCATCATCATCATCATCATCATCATCATCATCATCATCATCATCAGCATCATCATCATCATCATCATCATCATCGTCGTCATCATCAGCATGATCAGCATCAGCATCATCATCATCAGCCTCAGCCTCATCATCATCATCGTCATCACCATCATCATCAGAGGCAGCAGCAGCATAATCAGCATCATCAGCACCACCAGCACAGCATCATCATCACCATCATCATCAGCAGCATCATCACCATCACCATCAACATCATCATCACAAGCAGCATCATCATCATCATACTCCACATCCTCATCCTCATCATCATCATCATCATCATCAACAACAAAAGCATCAGCATCATCATCAGCATCAGCATCATCTAAATGATCATCAGCATCAACATCACCATCGCAACCAGCATCACCATCATCATCCATCCTCAAAATCCCAGTCACCATCCTCGTCTACATCATCAGCATCATCATCAGCATCTACATCATCAGCCTCATCATTAGCAGCAGTATCATCAACATCATCATCAACATCACCATCACCATCACCTTAAACATCACCATCACCACCACCACCACCACCACCCTGACCACCACCACCATCATGCGCATCATAATAATCTCCATCAGCATCACCATCAGCAGCATCATCATCTTCAGCATCATCATTATTAGCATCATAATCATCATCAATCTCATCATCATTCACACCATCACCATCATCACCATGATCAGCATCATCACCATCACCATCACACTCATCATCACCCTCACCACCACCATCATCATCAGCATCATAATCAGCATCAGCATCATCATCAATAGCATCATCACAATCAGCATCATCATCGTCATCATCATACTCCCCATCATCATCAACAGCAGCATCATCAGCAGCAGCAGTTTCAGCATCATCACCAGCAGTATCGTCATCAGAAGCATCATCATCGCTAGCATCAACAACATCCTCGCAACCATCAAATCCAACCTTATCCCCATCGTCATGAACAACATTTTCTCATGATCGTCACCATGATCCATCGCCTCCTCCAACACACAAAAACTCGACTCGTCTTCCGCCTCCTCCTCCTCCTCCACCTCGTCCCGTCCCTCCCCCACCCACCCCTTCCACCCTTTTCCACCTCCCCCCCTCTCCTTCATCCTCTGCTGGACTCTGCCCGAGCGGGCCCTTCACACCCTTGAATGAAGACGACCCCGGACTGGCCCCGGCGGGCGCAGGCCTGCAACACTTGCGGCCCTGCGGGGCCCCCTCGAGAACCGAACAGTCGCAATGCGCACACTCCCTCGACGAGGAGGGGGGCTACTTCCGGTCCACGGGCCCACGTGCGCCACGAGACGCAAGGGGTCTCAGGAGGAGGAGGAGGAGGGCGAGGAGGAGGAGGAGAAGGAGGAGGAGGAGGGCGAGGAGGAGGAGGAGGAGGAGGGGGAGGAGGAGGAGGAGGAGGAGGAGGAGGGCGAGGAGGAGGAGGAGGGCGAGGAGGAGGAGGAGGAGGAGGGCGAGGAGGAGGAGGAGGAGGAGGAGGCACAATGGCGTGCCGACTTTACGTGGTGGCTTACGCGGGTCGACAGCGCGGCGCGCTACCTTGGAAACGAAGGCGTCTCGGGCGCCTGTTGCGCGCGAGCGCCCGCGCAACCAGCCAGCTGCTTCTCAACGGGAGGGGCAAGGGGCGCCCCCCCCCTGGTGGTGTGGTCCAGCCCTCTCGCTGGAAGCATCCCCTCCCACAGCTTCGCGGAAGTGCCGTGGACCTCCTCGCTGGAGGTGGCCCCCCAAGCGGTGGTGGTGTCGCTTCTCTTGGCGGCGGGCCCGAGGGGGGAAGTGAAAGGGGACAGGCCTTCTCAGAAGGCGGCGGGACTTCCAAGGGATCTGACTCAAAAAACCCGCCCCCTCTCACGCCGCGGCACTCCGCGGCGGGCCAGTCGCGGCACGCCGCGGCGGGCCGCCACGCCTGGAGGCGGAGAACGAGCTCGTACTCGACGCTTCCTCCACGGGGAAGGGGGCAGGGAGGCCGGAGGCGCCTCGCGTTCCATCCCCCCCGTCCGCACCTGGGAGGGAGGAGAAGGGGGAGAGGGAGGGTGACAGTGGAGCGAAGGAGAACAAAAAGGGCGGAAGGGGGGGAGGACGAGGGGATGTATGGGCTACTGCTGGCATCTTCTCACGCGGGTGTGCAGACATCACGCGCACAACGACCTTTTTATACATGCAACCGCAAAGTTGGGTATAGCTGCATTAGCAAACTCATTCGTCCTGGTGGTAAAACAGAAACATCGTACCCCTTATAACCGAGCAAATGTCATGACCCGCCCGTTTCCTTTCGAGGATGGACAGACCCCCCTTTAGTAAAACGTGGTTTAGTGAAAACGACCTGAGGTCCAAACCTGGCGGGCGCAAGCCTGGAAAATAACGGCTGCGGCGCCCTCTCGAGAACCGAAAACGGACAATTCACTAATCGACGTGTCACTGTTGGGGGTTCTGTCCACCCCCGATCCTGACGTCGAGCAGAAACCACAGCCATAACCATATGCCCCACCCGTCCTTCGAAGAACGATGGCAGCGCGGAGAAGGAAGGATCACAACAACAGCTCCAAAAGTATAAGCCCAAACGCGGCTGGCGGCGAAGTTGAAGCTGTCTGTCTATCCAGCCCGAATCATCCTACGCATGTTGGCGTATCCCCCAATACAGTCGGGGCGCTGGAGAAGGAACCCTTTTCGTTTGGGAGGGGCTCGGTGTTCCTTGATTGTTTTACAGTTTGCCTCGGGTGTTCCGTAGGTTTTCCAGGAGGAATCGAAGTTTAACTTAGGGGAAAAGGGGGCCTCGATCCTTATTTAGGGTTCCTTAGGTCAAGGCCCCGACTGTAGCCCTACGAGCGGTGCAGTGGCAGTAAAAGCGGAGGCGCGTCCTCGGATAGCCCTACACGCGGTGCGACAGGGGGTGACACGAGGGAGTGCAATGTATGCCTCTGTTACTGGTTTGCGGACAAGGGGGCCCTGTAGCGCAGGGGCCCCGAAACACTCCCAGAAGCTTGGTGCCCCTCCTTCTGCGATGCGGGCGGGTCACCGAGCAGCAGGGGACCGAGGCCCACTGGCCCGACCCGCGGCCGAGGAGATGGAGCTCGGCTCCGGCACCCAGGAAGGCAGCCAGCTCCTCTCCTGACGGGACGTTTTCCCATGCCACTACCATGAGTAGGGGGGGGTCCTCCTCTTCCTCCTCCCCCTCCTTTCTCCTCTCCCCTGCCTCCTCCCTCCTCCTCCTCCTCCTCCTCCTCCTCCTCCTCCTCCTCCTCCTCCTCCACCTCCAACTCCAACTTCCTCCTCCTCCTCCTCCTCCTCACTCCTCCTCCTCCTCCTCCTCCCCCTCCCCTCCCCCTCCGAACCCCCGCCTCCTCCTCCTCCTCCTCCTCCTCCTCCTCCTCCTCCTCCTCCGCCTGCTCTCCTCCTCCCACTCCTCCTCCTCCTCCTCCCCTCCCCCTCCCCCGCCCCCTCCTCCTCCTCCTCCTCCTCCTCCTCCTGCTCCTCCTCCTCCTTCTTTCCTTCCTCTCTCCTCTCCACCTCCTTCCCTTCCCCTCTACCTTATGGTAGTGGTAATGGACAACAGGCCCACCATCTCCGCAAGAGCAGGCGCCTTTTTCTCCAGTGCGTCCGCTGCTGTGCACGCTTCGAGCGCGACGAGACTGGCCGCGAAAGCGACGGCCAGGTCGGGGAAAACTCTCAAAGCAGAGGCGGGGCCAGGCGCTGGGCCTGGAAGAGGCGCGGGCAGTGCCAAGGGGGGGGGGGAGAGGGGCACCACAACAGGAGTCGCCAGACTCTCACGAGGAGGGGTCGGAAAAACATTGCACACCCACACATGCATACTTGCATACTTACGAGAGAGCGCGCCCATGGAACACTCTCAGAAGGAGGGGGGCCTCCATAGCTACCCCCCCCCCCTGGACCTCCTCTGCCCGAACCCCCCCCCCTCCCCCTTTCATCCCTGCCCCTCGGAAGCTACGCCCCCCCTTCCCCCCTTTTGCGGTCCGGAAGCTGTCCCCCCCTTTCCAAAGGGGGGGGGCTTAGCTACCCCCCCTTTGAACCCCCCCTGCCGGAAGCCGCCCCCCCTCCCCCTCTTCTTTCAGCCCTGCGGAAGCTACCCACCTCCTCCCCCCCTGTAGCGCTCCAGAAGCTCCCCCCCTCCCCCCTTCTTTTCCGAAAGGAGGGGTGAGCTTAGCCCCCCCCCCCCCCCCTTAGAACCCCCCCTGCCGAAGCACCCCCTTCCCCCCCTTGATGGCTAAAGAAGGGGGGGGGGCTTGGAAGCCCCCGCCCTTTGTGGCTAAAGGAAGGGGCGCCGAAACCAAAAAGGGCACTGAAAACCAAAGATGCGCCGAAAACCAAAGGGCCACCGAAAACCTAAAGGGGCGACGAAAACCAGACGCGCGCCGAAAACTCAAGGGGCGCGGACAACGAAAAGAGCGCCGAACACGAAGAGGTCGCCGAAAACAAAAGGTGGGCCGAAAACCAAAACGGCGCCGAAAACCAGAAAAGTGTGCCGAAAACCAAAAAGGCGGGCGCCGCAAACCAGAGGACGCCGAAATACAAAAGGGATGCTGAAAAGCAAAGGGGCGACGACAACCGAAAAGGCGCCGAAAACCAAAAAAAATGCTGAACACCACAGAAGCGCCGAAAACCTAAAAAGGCAACGGAAACCAGCGGGGCGCCGAAAACCACCGAGGCGCCGACAACCAGAAGGGGCGCCGAACACCAAAGCGGCGCCGACAACCAAAAGGGCGCCGAAAACAGAAGTGCGCCGAAACCCAAAAGAACGCTTCAAACTAAAGGGTCGCGGAACTTCAAAAGGGCGCCGAAAACGAACGGGGCGACGAAACCCAAAGGGTCGCCGAACACCAAGAGGTCGCCGAAAACCAAAGGACGCCGAAAACCAATAGTCCGCGGAAAACCAAAAGGTCGCCGAAAACAAACAGGGCACCGAACACCAAAACGGCGCCAAAAAGCCAATACGGCGTGGACAACGACAGGGGCGCCGAAGACCATAAGGGCGCCGAAAACCGAAGGGGCACCGACAACCGAAAGGGCGCCGAAAACCATCGGGGTGGCGAAAACCAAAGGGACGCAGAAAACCAAAAAGGGACCGATGACCAATCAGCCGCCGAAAACCCAAGATGCGCCGAACACCAAAGGGCCACCGAAAACCTAAAGGGGCGACGAAAACCAGACGGGCGCCGAAAACCGAAAGGAGTGCAGACAACGAAAAGGGCGCCGAACGCCAAGAGGTCGCCGAAAACAAAAGGGGGGCCGAACACCACAACGGCGCCGAAAACCAGAAACGTGTGCCGAAAACCAAAAGGGCGGGCGCCGCAAACCAAAGGACGCCGAACACCACAGAGCGCCGAAAACTAAAGGAGCACAGAAAATTGAAGGGGCGCCAAGAACCCAGAGGGCGCCGAAAAACGAAAGGGCACCGAAAACCAAAAGGGCTCCGAAAACAAAAGGGGCGCCACCGAAAAAGGGCGCCGAACACCAAACGGGCGCCGACAACCAGCATGAAGCCGAACATCAAAAACACTCAGAAACCCAAAGGGGCGCCAGAAACCAGAAGGGCGCCTGAGACCAGCAGGTCGCCCAAACCAGACAAGCGCCGAAGACCAGAGCGGCGCCGAAAATCAAAAGAGCGTCGAAAACCACGGGGGCGCCAACAACAAAGGAGAAACGGCATAGCATAAACTGTTCAAGGTCCGCGCGGATTCCCTGACTCTGCGCTGAACCACCCTCACTGGTGCGCTGAGCGCGCCAAGGGCGGCACTGGAGACGCCGCCAGAGGGTTTTAGCGCAAATCCAACGATTAGCGAGGAGCTGCGAAAGTGATGTTTATGTATTTCATGTTCCCCTCCGACTTGCTCAGCACCCGGATGACGATCCCCCGCCCTGTCTCGAGCCCGCGCTGACACGGATCAGGATGACACGCTACACCAGCGCCGCCCGTCTGATCGACGCAGCGCGCCGATTTCGAATGTAGGCGGGGCCCGTCCCTAATCCACGCGCCTTAAGCCATGCTTGCATCAACTCGACTGCCGCTGCCCCTGGATGTGGGTTCCTCCCCCCTCGTCAAGGGCTTTAACGACTCCTGCCGCCCCTCGACTCGCGCTGGAGCGGCTACGATTTGCTCAACATGTCCTTGGAGATCGCTGGGTTTCCTTGGAGTTGACCAGATGTTTCTGGAATTGCCTCGATGTATCTGCACGTACATTTGGCGGCGCGCACAAGGGGGTAGGGGGAGGGGGGAGGGCTTCTTAGAAGTAGGCTGCTTCTTAGAAGGCGTCAGCCTTGCATCTATAGAGAAGGCTCGCGCCTTCTAAGAAGCAGGGGTGCTGCTAAGAAGCCCTCCCCCTCCCCCCACCCCCCACCCCTGCACGGGGCTGATGCATGAATTTATCTGGCTCGATCCCCACAAGTCGATTGGCGAAAAGTCGTCAAACCCTGAGGGCACCCCTTCCCCCGACCATGGCGCTGCCCGACAGGTCGGCCGTCAGGCACGTCGGCCGCGTGGCCGCGCCGGAGCCGCGGGCCCCCCGCGACGAGGAGACCCCGCGGGGCAGCTCGTGACGTGTGCAGCCGGAGCGGGCAGTAAGGATGCGCGACAGGGATGCGAGCCACTTGGACGCGCACGTCAAAGCTTTTCGAGAGGGGGCTGGCCATCAGCAGGGTTTCGGCATGGACCGGGGAGGCAAGGATGCGAGGGAACCCTTGGGAAGGTGACACATCCTTACAGTCGACCTCGACTGTCAGGAGCAAGGGGACGAAGCCCCACCACCACCACCAAGGACCAGGAGCGGGAGGGACCAGGGGCGGGTGCGGGGTGTGGTCCCCCCTCCCGCCCGAGGCATCCCCTACCACCCAACTCGGGGAGGCATCGTGGACCGCCTCGCGGGAGGTGGCTCCCCCCGGTGGTGGCGGTGGCGTCGCTTCTCCTGCCCGCGAGCCTGGGCTGGCGA